AAAAAAAAAAAATCGAAAGAAGTTGATTTGTGAAAGTTTTCAACGTGAAATACCTACAAAGATAACAAAAAATATGCCAAAGATATAATTTTAAGACGTTTACCTCGTAGTTCTGCCTAATGTTATTAAATCAAACCTCTTAACATTATGAAATTTAAGACATACCAAACATTGGCTCGAAAAAAATCATGAATTGGACGAAAATGTGATGGATGGTGATGTTGAAGTAGAATACATGTTCAAGAATGAAAATGATGATGTTATTTACTTGCTCCATTCTTGAAAATGATTTCTATTTGAAAGTATAGCAACCGTTTATATTAATGGTACGAAAAAATGGAAAGAAATCCAAGGTAGTTGTCTCCTAGAATAAACTAATTTTGGAAAGAAAAATGAAAAGAAAGCACGGTTTTCTTTATCCAATTCTTTAATGGAAAAGGTAAAAATGAATCAATATTTTTTGGGAGATATTATTTTCGTCACTTACCTCTAGAAACAATTAAGGTTAAAACTTCAACCGCAAATAACATAAGATTTAAAATTTCAAATGATGCCATCACAGCATCTCGAAAATTCTCTAAGGCCTTTTTCTGTACATATATTATTTTCCAAACTAAAATACGACATTATGGTTGCAGTAATAATTGTCTTTTGAACTACTTCCCAAGTCAAAGTGCTCAATGGAAAACAAATCAATTACACACTCCCTATATGTGATTAGAGCCATATATATTGTTATAAACAACATAAAAAAATATCGAATAATTTAGATACCAATTTGTTGTAATAATAGACGAGAAAATAATGACACAATATAAAATAATTGACAGAAGAATTGAGATTTCACTAAAATATGGAAAAAATAATACAGTGATTTTGTATTTATGATTTGTCTAACTTTGGCTAACTTATTTTGAAATTCAATGCAGAGCCAAATATATACATGAATATTTCAAACCCTAAAATTAGAGTTATAGATGGAATGGGACTGGGCCAAAAGAATATGGTACTCGAGAGCTAGGTGGGCGTGCCCCGACGCTTGAGCGTCCGGCTAGAATTTGGATAATTGAGCCGAAAAGTCCTACATGGTTCATATCTTGATCTCTTCAAGTCTGACACAAATTTCAAATTTTAACTAGAATTTACCAAATAAACTTCGAATATGATTTCAAAAACATTCCGACAAATATATAGTTCATGTTGTCAAGGTCCTCATTTTGTGTAAAACGTTCTCATTAATTTCAAAACTAATTGAAAGTAAACTCCACCAATTTTTTTACTCGTTATAAGAAAAACAAGGGAAATACAGGAT